AAGAATTTCCTAGGATACAAAAAACATGATGTATAAAAGAAAAAAATTGATAAATGAGATTCCATCAAAATTTAGAACTTTAGGGCTGGGGATTTAGCTTAGTGGTTCCAGCGCCTGCCTCAAAAGCACAAGGTCCTGAATTTGATCCCTGGTACCAAGAAAAAAAAAGGAAAAATTTAGAACTTTAAATGACATTGTTAAGAAAATGCAAAGTAGACCTTAAACAGACTATATTTATAATACATATAACCTATGGCAAGAATATATAAAGAACTTCTACAGCTCATTAATAGACAACCCAATTAAAAAGTAGACACAAGAAGATGATAAATAACCATTATAGCACAAGGAAAGGTGTGGAACACTAGAATCAGAAAAATACTGATCACTACAATAACAAGACTGTATTATACCCTCATTAGGGAGATAAAGTTAAAAGTTTTAAAAGAACAGATGTCAGCTTAGGTGTGAACCAGTTAGAACTTTCAAATGCTGCTACTGTGAATGGAAAATGATAAAACCATTTTAGAAAACAATATAGAAATTACTTGTATTACTGTTAAGAACCAATAGTTCTGTTCTTAAGTTTTTACTTAAGAGGAAAGAAAACACATGTTCACAATAGATTTGTACATATAAGTTGAGTATCCCTTATCTGAAATTCTTGGGACCAGGAGTGTTTCAGATTTTGGTTTGAAATCCACTTGATCTGCAAAGAGGATAGCTATACCTGCTTTTCTTTTGGTTCCTGTCACATGGAGTATTGTTTTCCACCCTTTAACTTTCTGTCTATAAGTTTCTTTTTGAATTAAATGTGTTTCTTTTGTTCAACATATTGTTGGGTCTTGCTTCTTGACCCATTCTGCCAGTCTATTTCTTTTGAATGGTGAATTGAGACCATTAACATTGATGGTTATAACTGATACGTATTGACTTACATTGTCATGACTTTTGCTTTTTGTTGGATTCTCCCAGTTTGCATTTAATTTTTTGTCGTGTCCAATGGATTCATTCTGCTGGGCTTCCTGGGGTTGTGATCCTCGTTGTCTTTTCCTAGGATATTATCTAAAGTGTTTTGGAGTGCTGGTTTGGTATTCATGAAGTTCCTGAGGTGCTCTTTATCATGAAAGTATCTTATTTCTCCATCGATTTTGAA